TATTTAATCTATAAAAAATAAATTCTCTATTGCATAATGTTACTTTATGTATAAAAATTATCCAAAATTTTTTTATTTTTCAATTAATAAAACAAGAAACCTATATAAAGTAGGAAAACTAGGCTTTTATGAATTTTAAACTTAAACAAGCCCTCCAAAGCTGAATAATAAAAAACAAAAAAGAAGCTATAAAATGATACAAAATATTATTTTTTATAAGTAAATGAATACAACAATATTTCAAGTAAGTCCACAGATCATTTTCCCATCGGATTAATTCTAGAGGAAAAAGTGAGAGAAGGCTGTAGTCTATTTTGATTGTACTCTGATTCATTATTGATTCCTATTTGAATCTTCTTTTTTTGTAATAGGCCTAGTTTTCTCAAAGTTTATTTTTTGATTGGCTAATTTAATTTTCAATAGTGATGTTTATCTTTCAGTGGTTTTCATCATCTTTAGTCAACTCCACCGTTTTGTCTGCATTTTTGATTAATGCTGAAGTTTGAAATGTAAATTTTTAAAAAAATGAATGAGAAACAATAGGCATTTATTGACATTTATTGATTGTTATTTCATAAATTTACCACACTATTGAATGATAATCACAAGGTTTAAATTTGAAGATAATTTCTTAAAGTTAATAAATTAAAAAATTGAATAATAATGTTAAAAAATTATGTTATTTTAAGCTTTTAATTCAAGTAATTTACTAACATACAAAAAACTATAACCCAAACTTTTAAGTTTTCTTAAATTTTTATTCCTATAACTACTTAATCCTATTAAGGGTATAGCCATAACACTAAAGATTCTTAAAATTATTTTTTAAACCAAAAATATACTCTCCCTGCGTCAAATTCCAAAACTTTCAAATAGAAAGTTTTTTTAATTTTCAGCAGATTATTTTATTAAAAAAATCCATTTACTGAATCAAATTGAATTCTGCAATAGTAATTTGACTAAAATTACAATGAAATAATATACTATTTATTTCAACATTTAAATTCAAACATAATTTATTGATGATGTCTGAAAGAAAATGAACTTTTATAATCATAATTATCAAATATTTAAATTACTTTAGTTTTTTGTATTCATTGAAAAAATAACAATATTCTCTTAAGAAAATTTTCATCTATATTTATTCATAATTTAACTGGATGGTTATTATTTGATATTCTGACAATAATTCCTTATAAATTATTTGTAAAAAATTTTTAGAAATTTATTATAATAATTTCAAATTTTTTAGAATTAAACTAATTTTATACTCTAGAAATAATTTTTTTTTTAAATTTTAAATCTTGCAAAAGAAATTAGTTAATAAGATGATACATCTTAATATTTCATCTCTTAATTAAGAGATTCAATTTACTCTATTACTCGATCTTTTATTTCATTAATTTTTTAATATAAACATAATATCTTAATATAAAATGAATAATATTAAAATGAAATGCGTTTGATCAGTGATATATTATAATCAATTAATTTCGAAATTTCAGCAATATTTTTAAGTCAATAAATTATAATTTATTAAATCATTTTGATTTTTATGATAAAACTTTATTTGGATAAGTATTGCAAATTTAATACTTAATATGATGCAATAAAAAAGATTACAGGACATTTAAGGATTGTTTTTTGAGAGAATGAATATTGTTAAATGATGTTTAGATTTCTATTTGTTTCTAAATTCTTTATACTTGTTTCAAGGGTCCTTTTATTGAATAAACTGTTAGGATATAAATTAAAGTTCATATTTTTTGATTGTGAGCTAAAAAATTTTGAACTCCTACAAATATAATTGAAATATATTTGATTTAACAATTCTAAATAAATTTCACATTTTCGTTAGTAATTTATAAAAGAAAAAAAATTTTAATGCCATGTTGGGTATGAAATTATTAGCCCTAACTTTATTCTAATTATTACAGGGATAAATAGAAGTGTATGAAAACATTTTATAAATAGTGAAAATATTTATATGGAAAACTTTGTCTTCAATAAACAGTGTTATTAAATATTTAGTTTCAAGAATTTTATGAAACTTGATGATTACTCTTATTTAAAAATTGATATAATAATAATAGCAAATACTAATTAATGTTAGAGTTCACATATTTTAATATTTTTTTATTATATTAATAATTCATCATACATCAAAAATTTCAATATATAATAGGTTTAATGCGGATTATTCATATAAGACAGATAATTTCAATGTATCTTTAGCTATTTTTATTAGTATTACTTCATCTCTCATCACTATGTTTTCCAACCTAAAAGAAAATGTAATTAAATGATTAAATGTATTATGACACTGATATAAAAATACTGTTTCTTGATTATTAGTTCCTAACTCATAATTAGACGAAATAAAGTGGCTTTTAACTATCTTATTCTTTGAACATTGAAAATTAATTTCTATGGTTAATTAAGGAAAATCTTGATTTATAATAGCCATAATCTGACCAACCTGATTATAAATTTATTAATTAAACTCAAAGATTTTTATTTGAATTCTATCAGTTTAACTACATATATCTTCAAAGGTTTAAGTTATACTTAGATCCAAAAATTATATATTAGTAGTTTCCTTAAGAATAATCCCTTACTCTTAGTTAAAACATTTATTCTTATATAAAAATTTATTTTCTTGGCAACTGATGCAAATACCCTTTATACAAGCTGAACAAGGGCAAGTTTATAAACATTAATCACATCCATCCTTAAATATTAAATTACCATCATCACATTATTCATCAGCAACTACTAATTTATCTCCACAAATAGATTAGCAAGTATTATTAATATTGTTAAATCCACTCTTACATACTGAACAACCATGTCCTTCAATACT